GCGCTTCCATGCGACCTATTTTTAAACTTACTCATACATATGTATACAGCCTCCGGAAAAGGTCAACAACCTCTCTCCCTCGGAACCTCTCGATATTCGTCAATTTGAATATTCCACCCTCTCGTTTTTAAGGATTAGATTTTTCAACAAAATCCATGCCGCTTTACTTTAAGTTTGTTTACATTAAAGGTTTAAACGTATTGTATATGATAAATCTTTTACTTGCTTTATGTTCGGAAACTTAGTGTTTGACATCCGTTTAGCAATTACAATTATATATTTATTATTATTACTCGTAATACATTTAAAAAATGAGGTGGACCATGAATTTTGCAAACTTTTTAAATTAAGATATCCTGAAATATTTTCTATCGATAGTCTTGTCGTAATCCAAAAAGAAAATATTCGAAAACTAACATTATAATATTTATAGTTTCAAGGATTCCCATTATGTTATGGATTTTATAATTACAGATTATTTGACCGCATGCCTTTTGGCTAGTTTATTGTTATCTTTTTGTTATTATTGTAATCTCATTAAAGAATCATGTAACATGAAAATACTAGCTGTTCCTCGCGACTTCGCTCGCGTGTAATTTAGGGTTTTTATTTTGTTGCGCGGAACCCTAATTATTTTTCAAAAATATAAGTAGCCTAAGTTACTCCTTATGAAATCAGCTATCTGCCAGTGAAAGTCCCCTCAAAATCGGTCCAGCCGTTTCGGAGATTAACTGGAACAAACAGACAGACAGACAGTCAGACAGACAAAAATTTTAAAAATTGTGTTTCTGTTATAGGTACCGTATATACTTTTATATGCAATTAGTAAAAACCTGTTATTTTGATATTACAAACAGACACTTCAATTTTATTTATTTGTATAGATGATACTAAAAAGAGCTTTCCAAGGGCTAAATCCATAATTCAAATATCTTTGTTACGGATGGCATATTAGGTATCTAATATTTTCATATTGAACAAAAAATTTCTTCTTCGTGCATACTTATAGGTAAGATGTTAACAAAACGAATTATTTTTTATAAGATTCCGGCGGCGCTCATATCCGGCTTGAAGGACCAATAGCGGAAATGGATAAGAAATGATCCGGAATAACCTCAAGGAGGGTGGACGGATTTCTTAAGTATACCCACGGTTCAGCAAGAATTATAATTAGGCCATTAGAAGAAAATACACATTTTATAAATGTTTTCATAGTGTTATTTTACAGCCTAAGCTAAAAATGTTTGTAGTTTTTTCATTTTTCTTATTGAAACAATACGCACGAATTAATGAACACTTGACGCAAGTTTCAACAATTTGTGCTTCAAGTCTGGATGTCTTACATTTTATAACAATTGCCATATTCACTTCAATGACTTACAAACTGTTGTACTAATCAAACAACGCACTACTAAAACAATAACAGCCATTGTTACAAACTTTACATCTTTTCTCCGTTGTAATTAGAAATTGCATGGAAAATAAAGCTATTACAAGGTCAGGGAGATTATGAGATTTTTCTGTAAAAGAAAACTGCAGTTTAGTTAGACCGGAACTTCCAAGGTCGCAGACTATACGCACACATGCGCGACGAACCACCCCGTACTCATACCATCCGAAGCACGTGTACGCTCTACCCTACACATGGTTGTCATGACAACGCAGCATCACTCCACGCCCACAACTCCGGGGCGAACTCTCAAGATATTACGCCCTACTTCGCTCGTATTGGTGAACCAAAGGGGTGTAGTTACACTGCGTTAGTGTGAGTTCGCTTAGAGCGGTTAGTCTGGAGAAATTCACCAATTTCATTTTCCAACCGCATTCCGTACCTGATGTTCGTTTCTGTACTGTACTACTTATAATATCGGTTATTCTAAGAGTCTACTATTTGACAATGGAGATAAAATATTCTACAAAAAATTTATATTATATCTAATCATCAGTTAAATATACATTTATTCATTTTAAGAAACTTAAAGGCATCAAAAACATAATACCCTTGTTATTAATAGAATTATGAATTAAGGAAAGATTTTAGATTGCTTTACTCCTTATGCATTTGCACTAAAATAAAATGAGAGAATTGCGTGAACGAGCTTATCTTTTTTGAATGGAGAAAAATATAGATACATAACGAATGCTAACCAAGCACTCGACTCCATTCGCTACATTCACCGGCCGCTCGTTAACAAACCTATTCAATTTTGAAGTATTAGTCGATTGAAGCAACATTTCTCGCGTCCTACCGCCGCGAGTTCCAATTAGCGACTGGGGCTTGTCGCCTGAGTGGCGGTGACGTCACGCGGCGCTTTCATGCGGTTTCAATAACTACCCTCTCCACGACTCCTTCAATAGCCGGCCACTCCACCTGGCCTTCATTAGGGACCTCAATGTATACGCTAAGCTGAAAAGGCGACGGGAATCTACTAATTTAAAAAATACAAGTTTTAACGAATAAAGTTGTTTAGCTAATAACGAGCTAACTCCCACATTGACACCGCGATAATGTCATATATTTATTTCTTAAAAATGGTTATGAACTGACACTGAACAAAGCGCGCTGGCCGTCTTTTGTCTCTGGCCGGTCGCGCCATAGACAAATCTTATTATGAAAATATTTTCAAATTAAGAACGCGCTCCACTCCCGCATTATGCGTCTCGGCTGTCATCATTGTCTAGGTTCTTTTTGTTCGTCCTCGCATGTCGAGGTTTTTCGACCACCGTTTCGGTATTTTTACTCTCTTTTTGTTTATATTTTTTTTCAAGCTGCCCCGAGCGTGAATAGTGGGCTTTGTTTGTTCGTGTTTTATTATTAATTAGTGGGGATCCTTTGTTCGTGGTAATTATTCGTCTTAATAAGCGGTTCCTGCTCTTCGAATACGAACGAGTGCGGGAGGAATTGTCAACGCTTTTAGTTTTTTAAACGACTGATGGTGATAAGGTTTTTAATAACTGGTTTTGGTAAATGGTTCCCTACTTTTATTTCTCGGCATTATTTTAATTTTTTAATACAGTTTTCTTTAATTTACACTTAATTATTTCTTTATATAATTCAGACAAGTACTTATTTGTAATGGTTTTTCAAACATTATATTACAGTTGTCACAATTGTATTGTAATTTTTCAACATTAGTATATAAGAAATTTTATAGATTCGTGCATAATATTTATGTATTATCTTGCATTATTCATAATATTATTATACATGTCTCTTTCACAATTTCACATTGCACAACTTACTTTACTCAGAGGATATGCAAACATTTATACTTATTGGAAATACATTTCAATAAGTAGTCTATATTTTTATTTAAATAATAATTAATTATATTAAGTTGCTCATTCCTTTACACCGTACTGGTTATTTATCTCACTCTTTCGCCCTCACGGCCATCAGACTCTGGAACGACATCCCTCTTGACATTAAAAAAGATGTCAGTAAACTTTTGTCAGTAAATCTAATTCCATTTTTAAAATACGCGAATATTACACATGACTTTAATCTTAAAATGCCCATTCAAAATTATTATTTTTATCTCAGTAGTCACTTTACTTGTCGTCTTTGCATTGTAAAATGGTCACACTGTTTTCATTAGAATTAAATGTTTCATTGTAAACATGGTTTGTCTCTCATTAGTAAACTTTAGAACCTTACAAAATAAGGGCACGAAGAAATAAAAACCGCACACGGCCTTGGACCAACCTTTTTGGTTCTTAACGTAAACCGCCACAATTAATTTAGCCTACGTGTCGCCTGCGATCCTGTCGTTTATTTCGCATAATAAAGTGCTGAAAAGAAGTCCCAGTTTAATTAGAGGTGAGACACTCAGGCTCGGAAGCGCGCGGCTGAATGGCACTCGTCGGACGCCATTTTGCATAATTGGGCGACGGAGGGTAGGACGAAATTTATACGGCGCCGCGCCAATTTACTTGCTAATGACGCGTCGTCTTCCCATAGACAGTCTGGCGGGTTTTTGTTTACGCCACGCTATTTTTCTATGAACGTTTTTTTTTTGATCCGGATGACTTTTTTACGGTTTTTTGTAACTTGATTCCTTGCAGTTTTTACAAAAACAACAACAACAACAAAAACATGATATCAACAACAAAAACAAAAAGAATTCACCTATGAAATGCAAATACGAACGTATTTTTTATTTTGGGTAGCTAATATTTGAATTTTCCATTTTGTGGTGAACATTTTCTTCCGTCATAAGAAGATTCATATGTCTACGTGGGAAAGAGGAAAAGATACAGCGCAGATGTAGATATACGGTTCAACCGGGGTTCCAATGTAGGGACGGATCATTACTTGGTCTGATGCAGAATAAATGCTCTGTTAAGTATACAAAGCAGAGCTTGGCGGGATCGGACATCGGCTTTGTACTTCGTTACAGCGCATTAGAATAGAAAGGATACAAGATGAAGGTGTGAAATAAAAGTGTCAATATAAATTAACAGAAAAAATGTGGATTTGGATGGATTGCGTACGAAAGATTCTATTTTGGAGACCGGGATAAAGTTAAGAGAGGTTTGGTAGCAGCAGCAACCGATGTACGAGTATGTGGGAAGAGAAAGAATGTCAGGAATACGTTATAGTATGATATTGAGGCACGAATGGAAATTGAAGCAAAGAAGAGAGCATGGTGCATGCACTAATAACTAAAGCTGGTAATTCTGGCTGTATGGATGAAATTTCATTTGATGAGATTAAATGAAAGAAGCCAGTTTTAAATGTATATTTCCTTTCATCTATTTAGCGTTTTTAATGGATAATATCACCATCAATTGGTTTGAAAGGCGCATGTAGGTACAGGTTAGCATTTAATGGAAAGTAAATTAGCATTTTAAAAATTACTAAAAAATGTTATAATATAAAACCATATTTGTACAAAAATATAATAAATTATATTAAATATTGACATTATTTCTTACAAAAAATGACAGAATAATTGCCATCGTGAATAATTTTTAACAGTTATTTCCTCTTGTTGCAGACCAGTAAGATGGGTCTTCCTGCAGGCGGCGGCCTTTCGCTATTCTGCCCGGGAGGTGACTTAGGGCAACCACCACCTGCGCATATGGGCATCCCTCCACCCTATCAACTGGACTCCAAACTGGGTATGTGATGATGACATTTTGTAAAACTTATGTTTTAAGACTTTCGCACATTTTAAGATAGACATTTTTTTCATTGGTATGAATTTGACATTCTTATTGTTGGTAAAAGTTATTCATATTTAAAGTCTATATACGTCTGTATAATTATTTATTATGTGATCAGTCCTGTATAAGTATGTATTGTGATAGCCCGCGTATCCCTGACATAGCATTCTAAACTCCTCCTGATCGTATCGATTGCTTTCGTTTCATCAGATAAGAAAAGTGAGGATAAGTGACTCACCTTGATATTTTAGCTCGATAAATAACCACTTCTCGGGAAGCGGAGATAAAATTCTGTTGAATGATTAATATAATTCCAGATTATTTAATTTTTAAGGTAAGTTGTGATTGAGACTTGTGATGGAGATTTGTACATGAATTATAAGCAAATACGTATTAGATTCGTGTCGATAGTTTTGTGTGGTTTCCTTTGTCTATAACCCCGCAAACCACTGAACCTGTCATAAAACATCTATTTAACATGCTATCCAGCTTAACTAACGGAACACTGCTACTCACATTACCATTTCTCGTATTTCCATGATTTTTTCTGTGTTTGGTTAATTTTAGAGATTTTAATTAAATGTTTGCTTTCATCATCATCATCATCATCATCATCGTTACAGCCCGTCACAAGTCCACTACTGACTAAGGCCTCCCCAAGGTTTGCCACTAAACACAATCCTGAACCACCTGCATCCATCGGCTCCCTGCACGTCTTGCTAGGTCGTCACCACATCTAGTAGGGTTCGTCCTACACTAAGCTTACCGATTAAACAAATTTAATTAAGGTCTTTAAATAGAATAATAATGACAAACGAGCACATAGTCCACCTAACGGTAAATGGATGCTGTGGTCCATAGACACCTACACATATCCTCGAAAAATAATCAAAATGTAACTAAGATAAAATGCCTCGCTATCAGTCAAATGGGTCTTCATTTCTCTACACTCACCGTACGAAACAGCAGCAATAAGATGAAGCGTCAGTAGCCTAATGGCAGGACGCGGACCGCGAACTCGAAAGGTTCGAATCCGCCATTCGACTACCGTCGTGAACCACTTCTAAAACAAGCATTTTAAGCTTACCAGAAGTGGTTAAAGGGAATATTAGTAATGTTTAATAACATTACTAGTATTTTATAAATAAAAAAAAATAGCATGGTACTTCCCCGTTCGAGCCGACCCATTCGTGCTGCAACCATAATATAGTTGCAGTGTGGCTCTACCATGACCAACACCACCAGAACCACGTTGTGTGTTCTAGGGATATGCACAAAAAAGGGTAAACATTTCGAAAGCTTGTTATAATGTAAGTGACGAACGAACAAACAGTCCACCCGATTCAAACTACAACGCAGTAATGACCCGATCATTCAAGTATTGATTCGTCTTACGAACCGGGTCTTTCGGGTCGATCATTGAAATTGATCATTTCGAGTTTCAGTACTCTGTGATCTGTGAGACCGCTCGATAATGTTGGTCATTGGATGTTACTATATTCTTTGGTCGTAGGTCCTGTCAATCATTTCGAGATCCGGAACGTTCAAAAAATGTAATTGCAATCATCAATACTTTGATGCGACTCGGGTGAAATGAGCGAATCATGGACTATTGACACATGTCTAATGGGTACACAGTTGCTTGACTGTTAATTAGAGGGTATCAATCACACGGACTCCTAGGCTGAGTAGTAGCCCTAAGTATATTCCTGTCAATAACAAATAAGATTATAAGCATATCTCTGCTACAACACAGTTTTATTAAAAGAAGTCGAAGACTAAAAACTCGTGTACTTTGCTTCAGCAGCGGGGTTAGCGCGGACACCCATGTACCCTTTCCCAGGGGGTACATACCCTTACCCTATGCTCAGTCCCGAGATGTCACAAGTAGCGGCGTCGTGGTGAGTAAATATTTGCATTTTTTATTTATTTTTAAACTATTTTGTAACAACAATTTATATAAGAAAATATGGACAAGATATCGTATTTATTACCCCTTTAAGTTTAAAGTAAGAACAATCAGCAATTATCTTACTTATTATTCTTTCTTTATAATGTTATGAATGTGAAAGTTTGCCTGTTTTTCATTAATTAATACAGTCTATCAAAGTCCACTGCTGATCATAGACTGTCTCCTCATTGATTTCCTCATCGAGGGGGATATTTGCCATTGATTCCGGACCAGTTGTCAACCACAGATTTATATTTTCTAGTTACTATTAAGAAGACGCCGCTGCCCATCTCCCTTGTTTGTTTCTCTCTGTCGCCTCTTATGACACTCAAAGGATAATGGATTCGAGTAATGGATATTCTAAAACCGCCACTACTCGGTCAGTTTTACGCTTTTCACTCAGTCACGCCGAAACAGCTGAAAGAATTTTAATGAAATTTGATTTAGTGGTACACCTTGTCATGAAAAAAAGGGTATTATGACATTGGATACTTACTTCTATAACACTATGAAGTTTCGGCGAGGGTTTACGTAGTTTGATACGTATAAGTCTATAGACCTATCGAAGTGAGCGAATAACAGATAGTCAATTAATGGTAGATAGGTAAAATTTTAAATTTTGTACAACCGACTTCAATATAAATAAAATGAGACCATCATCAAAGTAGTCGAAGAAATCATAATGAAGAATAACTCAAAATCTACTGGTCAGATCTAGATCAAATTCATATGGGACCACATGAGAAGTACCAGCTTTCAAATAAAAAAGAATCATCAAAATTCGTTCACCTTGCCTACCTTGAGAACCTCCTTTTTTGAAGGCGGTTGAAAATATATTTTATGCAGATGTAAATTTATATCATTTTTATTTACATATATTGTTTTATTTATCTATACAAATAAATAAAATTGAAATGTCTGTTTGTAATGTCAAAATAACAGATTTTTACTAAATGCATATGAAAGTATATACGGTACTTATAACAAAAACACAATTTTTAAAATTTTTGTCTGTCTGGCTGTTTGTTCCGGCTAATCTCCGAAACGGCTGGACCGATTTCGATGGGATTTTCACTGGCAGATAGCTGATGTTATAAGGAGTAACTTAGGGTACTTATCTTTTAGAAAAATAATTAGGGTTCTGTCAACATAATTAAAACCCTAAAATGCACGCGGGCGAAGTCGCGGGGAACAGCTAGTAACCAATATATTTGATATTTTCTTGCACAAAACTATTTGTTATGTTTCTTTACGCTAATGCCTCCGTTTCGATAAATAAAAGAAAAGTTACGTTTCCTGTGCTAATATGTGAAAGAGACTTAAAAAATTCTTGTATGACTTCTTTCTCAAAAGTGCATTGTTTCACTTGAGAAATGAACGAGCGCTGTATCGTGCACTCAGTCTGTCTCATGTAGTGCGCTTGTGACTAAGGGCCGCTTTAAGTGTGCCAATTTGTACGCAGCTTTTTTTTATGAAATGCGAAATAAAGTGAAGACGCCGCCCTTACGTAAGAATGCAGATGCAGATGTAGCATTCGTATATCCATTGTTTAAGAGAAACAGGTTTACTTCTCGATATTAGAACTATCTTAAAAATAATATTTTATTCATTCATTCATTACATTCTATCAAAAATCCACTGCTGAACATAGGACATCTTCACAGACCGCTTCTTAGTAGAGATATTTGCCAAAGTTGACACGCTTGGCGCCAACCAACAAAACTGGAACCGAAAACGTATTGTGTATTTTGTGATGTCAGGAAGATGTTGCTACCCATCTGCCATTTAATTTCTCTCTATCGCCTCTTATCACACTCACGCGAAGATTGTATTGCGGCAGTGGATTCTCTCGCGCCGACACTACAAGGCATAAAATGATATTAAATATGACATATACAACTATATTTCATGGGGCATACCCGTTTTTTTGTTATAGCATAAAAGAGAAACGATCGCACAGTCCACCTGATGTTAAGTGGATGCTGCGGTCCATAGACATCTACATCTACCCTCAATTAAGAATCAAAATGCAAGTGCGTTGTCACCGCTAAGGACAAAGATGGAATGCCAAGTTACCAGTAAAAAGAGTCTTCGGTTCCCTACACTTACCATATGAAACACAGCAGCTTAAGCTGCTATTTAACGCTGGTATTCTGTGAAAGCGTGGACCTACCCCTGTCGAGCCATCCCATTCGTACTTCAACCATAATATGGCCGCAGCGTGGCTCTACCCCACGTACAAAATTTTACAGGCGAAATTTCTTGTAACATTATTTTGTTGTTAAATTAACTTTCAAACTTATAGATCTACCAGGATCTTTGTGACCTTGTGAACGTTTATGGAGTAAATCAATTAATAAGAAACATCTTTATTCGCACAACAACTGTACATAGTCGGATAGACATCTCAGACATTGTTGGAGGATATAAGTTTATTTTCTGTAATACTAGAAAATATTGGACAGAATACTTGCAACAAATACGTTCAGGCACCGGTATTTGCTTTATTTAATATTTTCTTTTTTTAAACAGGCATACTCCGAGCATGTATCCAATTTCTTCGGCGGCCAGTGGCTTCCGAAGCCCATACCCCACCTCTCTGCCAATCAGCAGTTCTAGTCTTTCAAGGTTAGTACTTATCTTATATACGATACATTATTTTATCATAATAACATATTTAAAGATTACATTACAATATATTATATTTTATCACTGTTTGTGGTTATATGTTATAAGGAAGAGGTTTACTCACTTAATTAAAGCCTGATCGGAAAAAATTGCCGTTGGATAGCGTGTGTATTTTCTTCTAAGAATAAGACAATCACAAAAATGTCATGCAACACAATATTATTTAAATTAGAGATGTTACGGAGGTTCGATTCCGATTCCGAAATTTCGGAACTTCCGATTGATTTTGCACTTTCGATTCCGATTTCGGTTCCGTTAAATTTTAATCGGAAGTTATATATCGGAGTTCGATGCACAGCGGTGGCGGCAGAAGCAATTGAAAAGAGCTACCCGCGGGAAAGCGAGGAAGGGAGGTGGTGAATGCTCTAAGCATACCACGACAGCCGGCTGTCGTAGTTATGTTGGACTCACTACGACTAACCTAACCTAAGTTCCTACCCACTAAACACTACCTGTGAGACTGGCATTGACTTTTGAGGTCTTTCTGCCGAATCGGAAGCTATCCTCTTTAGGGAAAAGGGGGCGCAGGCGGCGACGAGCCGCGGAGGGGGAGCCTAACTATGGCAAATTAAGAAGAGTCGGCCTGAGACACCAGGAGGCAGTTTAGATCGGCCGAAAGCTTGTTTGGCCGATCCGAGAGAGAGTTTCTCGGCCTGCGGACTCGACAGCGAGCGGGGAATGGGGCTGCATAAGTTGCTGCCTCACGAATGAAATAATTGGAGTGAGACTCTGAGGCTTTGAAGAAGTTCTCAGAGAGTGTTTTTAGAAATTGTTGGATTGTGGGGAGCTCTAAGTTTCGATAGAGGTCGGCCTTACGGACGTACCAGGGTGCGTTCGTAGCTCGACGACAGAAGTGGTTTTGAACTATTTGGTATTTGGAACTTGGTATTTGGTATTACTAACAAATATAGGGCCCGCGTATGTCATGACTGGTCATATATAGACCTTATAAAGGGTTCGCTTGTTTCGCAGGGACATTTTACTGTGTCGGCCCAGCATAATGTTGAGCCTACTCAGATAGAATCGTGCGTTGCGGGTTACACTTTTGACATGGGGCCCGAAGGTGAGCCTCGTGTCGAAGGTGACACCTAAATATTTGGCAGTCGTATGCCAGGGGACAGGGGTCCCTAGTATACGGATAGGCGGAATGGTAGTGAGGCGGCGTCGTTTATGATCGAAGTAAACGGCGGAGCTCTTCTCCGGGTTCACATCGATGCACCGTTTTTGGAACCAAGCTCCTAAGTCATCAACTGACTTTTGAATCTTGTTCCGTACGAAAGGTAGTGAGATACCTTTACAGAAGAGGGCAGTATCGTCTGCGAAGAGGGAGAGCTGAACACCTTTCGACGGGATGTGAATGTCGTTGGTGAAAAGGATATATAGGAGAGGGGCAAGCACTGAGCCCTGAAGGACACCGGCTTTGATGGGGCGCTGAGAGGAGAGCGTGCCTTCATGTCGAAAACGAAAGGTACGGTCCTTCAGGTAAGAGGCCACGAGACGAACAAGACGATCAGGGAGACCTATTTTATACAGTTTGTAGATAAAGCCTTCGTGCCGGACTCTATCGAATGCCTTTGCTATGTCGAAAAAGACCGCGATGGTCTTATGACGACGAGGATAGAAACCGCTGAGGATATATTCCACAATACGGTGAACTTGTTGGGGATATGAATGTTTCGCTCGGAAACCAAATTAGTAGGGGATGACAAGAGGATCACCGTCATTGGGAAATAGATGGCGCCTCATGCTAGTAAGGATGACTCGTTCGAAGAGTTTGCCTTGACGAGGCTGATGGGACGATGATTGGAGGAGAGCCGCGATCAGCGTGTACAAACAATTTTATACTTGTCGCCCCGGGAACCTCCCGTGCCTTCTGTCGATTACTCTTTAACTTGATGTTTTGTTTCGTATTAGGCAATTGACATCTTGTACGTTCGCGCTTTATTTATACTTATCCGAGTTTGATTAGTTTTAGTAGTGTTTTATTTGACGTGTAACAACTTTATTTGAATTGGACAATGAAGCCAAAATCAAGTACCATTTGGAATTTTTTAATGAAGTTTCTGAGAATACGGCAATGTGTAAACTGTGTGAGAAGATATATTCACTAAAGGGAGATAAGACTACTTCGTTAAAAAGTCATTTAAAGTCTGTGCATCCCACTGAATTCGGAAAATTCAAAAATTTGATACTGAAAAGAAAAATATAGTGCAATAGACCTGCCCTTAACACATATCTTCTGCCTCCACCTCCACTTCCGGTTCCGAATTCGGTTCCGATATAACCACTTCCGTTACATCCCTAATTTAAATCATCAAACTCGATTCACAATTGACGAAGATATCACCTAACATACACATAAGCAAGTGAAAAAAAAAAACTTTTTCCCACTTTTGTACACTTTAATTATTTTTAAAAATTATTTTTAATACCACGTTTCTTTACAATGTCATCCGTATCTGAGCTATGTTAAAAATTTCAAGTCACGTGGGAAGTTAGTTATAAATCAATTACTAAATTCGACCAGAACAGTCATACACGAAAGCGAATTAATAGAAACGTGGTAAAAACAATGTAAATCTGCTTCTTTTTTGAAGACGGCTCAAACAGAAAATCAATCAAGTACTCGGCAAAATTTCGACCTTTAAAACATTATAGCCGTTCACACCACACCTGGCCGTTTTCTTTAGAGACATGGTAAATATAAGTCAGTGTTTGACTACAAACCCACCTAATAAAATAAGTAGTAATGAAGCTCTAGGTGATAAACCCCACTCTTTTAACGTGATGAAAGCTTTTTCTACACATTTCTTGAAGACGCACACACGGTATCGAAGAAAAGACAGTAGCTTTCACGCTATTCCTTTCCTTTGCTGTACGAATTACAAACTACGCACCTTACCTCAATCATATTTCTCGTTCTCGTCATATTGAAGTTTGTTGATTTATAGATACCTAAAAACACGGAGAAATCATTTTCTCCGTATTTCTTTTCTCCCCTTTTCATTTTCCTAGAATAACACCTAGTCAGGTTAATTTTTCGCTCCCGTAAACCTATAGATTATTTTGCAATAACCTGAAGGTTCAGAATAAGTTATGTAGGTAATTCGTGAAGAAAAGTTTATTCCAAAAAATCTCAAACATTCTGCCCTTTTTATCTTTTAAATTCAAAATACGTGCTAATGCATTATTTTAACTGATTTTACTGCGCACGCACACATCCGTAAGGGTAGGCAAAAATGTTGTTGCCCACAAAACAAAAATATTGATTTTTATCAATTATTTTTGTTGACTTTCAACATGGCGTCTCACCGATTTAGTTACTCTGGGCTTGTAGACATTGACAGTAAACCATAAACCGACCATTGACTAGAAAGAGAACTGTCAGTTGTCACAATATTGTCACTTTTCAGTGACTGAGGTGTCACTTTCCTCTCGTCGATCGTGATCATGAAGCAAATACAAAGAGGAGATGTAACAACGCGTGACAATTTGCGGGGTGAGGGGATGTTAAGCCCCTCCCACTTTACACTATCTACATCTACTGATAAATAGTAAAACTACTCGAATCGTTCCATATCGATGTTGCAATGTAGTTTAGCTACCTTGACGAGCTTGCGGCCTGTTCACAAAATGATTATAAACTATAAAAATAATATTTTGGCGATTAAAATTTCTTTATGTCTGAATGCAAAACAAATTTCAGCACCTTCTATGATTATTTTACTAATACTGAGCTCTACGTAACTTTATATTTTTAGTTTACATGACACAAAGTGTCGCCATCTAGTGTGGAATATATTTAATTATATTTGAAAGCCGACGCATAGAGATTTTTCTATAACAAATTTAATAAATTTGGTTTAAAATTACTTGCAAATGAAATGTGATGCCATCCATAGCATCAGAGCGTCTATCTGGGTAGTTTTGACACGATAAAACACAACACTTCATCCTTTTCTTCTTAATACTACGAAAATACACCGATTTGCGATTTCCAACACATAAGCGCACAGGACGAATGCTGACAGTATACTAACTAAAGCCACGCCCACTATGATGACGTCAGGACATACTTAGAATCACAGTGCACAGATGCTTATGCCGTCTCCTCTTTGTATTTGCTTCATGGTCGTGATCGTGAGTTCGGATAGGCTTTGGTAGAGCCACGCGGCAGCTTTTGCTGTCGCACGGATGGGCCGGCTCGTACCGGGGTGGTACCACAACCACACAGAAAACCAGCGTGAAGTAGAGGTTCACCTCTGCGTTTCGCTTGGTGAGTGCAGGTGGCCGGAGGCCCTTTTTACAGGAAATGAGGCATTCCATCTTAGTCCTCACGGGTGACAACGCATCTACATTTTGATTTGTAATAGAGGATATATGTAGATGTCTATGGGCCGCAGCAACCACTTACCATCAGGTGGTCTGTGAGCTAGTTTGTCACCCTCATCTTATAAAAAAAAAATTAGTTCTTGGATATTATTATACGTAAATTTTTTAAAGTAGTTTAAATACACACAACTTTTCACTAATGACCATTATTATTATTATACATCCAATTTTCCAATAATTTTATGTCAAACTTCAATTTAAAAAAATTTGGAAAATCCAAAAGTGACCGACTTATAATGCGTCCAAGAGATATATGCGTCATAGAGTCCAACTTACTTTTAGAACGTAGTACTATTATTTATTCTGTATTTTTAAAATATTGTAATAAAAATCTGTGATTATTATAATAATCAAGTATGTATCAAATTTGGTTTTTCGAATATTTTGTATTTGTACAGCGATCTTTTTGAACCAACACACCGAAAGAAACAACCGATACAGTATCTACTCACGACGGCGGCTGAGGCCGAAGTGAGTGAGTGAGGTAGTCTATTTAGTAAAATTAATTATAACTATTACTACAATTAATATTTTCAAAAGTTATCATG